CATTTTTTGAGGAGTAACATTAGTTCGGACTAAGGGCTTTAGTCCGAACTAACGCGTCCCGGCACGCACTTCCTGGTTCGAGTCAGCTGTGATTCGAACTAGCGCGCCGGCGAGATCATGTTAATGAAGCACGGGATATTTAAATCCCCGCTTCGTTAACTACTTTGGTCGTCTCCATTTGCATCCCTAGTCCGAACTAGGGATGCAGTGTAGCCCTACCCTCATGGAGAAAAGCATATTGTAATCACCTTTTAATTTTTGACGTATACTACATGCAAGAATTTGGTTACTATGATATTCAAGGCTTTATGATATATTTGGTACAGTTATAATCACTGGTCCAGCATCTTTTCCTAAATTATTAACTGTAGGCCAAATTCTGCCATTTTACTTTTATTGGTTGAAAGATTACACTTATATTATTTTTTCTAATGGTACTTGAATAGAAAACACACAGATGATCAATTTAAAAAATATCACATTCTGGTTTTTTTCAGAGACCATATCCTTAGCTGGTGTAACTGAATTTACTTCCATGGAACCACAGTATTTTACACTACCTGAGAATGCGGCCTAAGGTCATCAAATCAGACATCTAAAAAAACCCACATAATCTTTGTTTCTTAAGATATTGGCTTACTTGAAAAATTGTCTTAATTATTTTCTTGCACATAAATAGCAGAGTATAAAAGAATAATAATCTTAACTATTTAAGAATACACTTACATACCTTTTGATAGCCACAAGTTCGCCTGACTCATTGCTCTTTCCCATGAGTACACTGCCATAGGTGCCATCCCCGAGTTGTTTCATGGTTGTATAACGGTTCATTTTATAAGATTAGGATTGCTGAAAGCCTTGAAAACTTTATTAGAGAACTTCTACACTCAATTTTAAGGCAATTTTTTGTTTTTCCAGAAGATTGTTATATCAGTAGGTTGTCTGCCATAATTTATTAAGACATTTGGTCTTCTTCCCAGAATTAGAGCCACTTTGAGATCCAAAAATAAAGTAACAAGGAAGAGAATAATGCAGCCATTCTTATATATAACCTTTAAAAAAAACAGATAAAAAAGGTGAATTTTAACAACGTATTCTAGGAAAATACAATATTCATATTTAACATTAATAAAGGCTCTTATTTTAATGTTTTCTCTGTATAATGGAACATGTCAGAATGGTCAGTTTTGTGCTGTATGGAATAAAGACACAGATCTTAATTGAATAATATTCTACAAACATCAGGCAACTTCCTACATCCATGTAGCTTTTCCTATAAAATTTAAGAATTCTCCCCAGGAGCTAAAATCCAGCATGAACATGGCCTCCCCGTGTTTGTTCTGCTGTTCAGAAGACATTTCCAACCCTGCAGCTGGTTAGCACAAAATTCTGTCTGAGGATGTGCTTACTTGAAACACAACTTTCGTATAAAAGCAGCAACATGTACCACCATTCAGTGGTACCTCAATCATCAGCAAGGAATCGTGCACTGGTGGTCACCATGCTAGCAGCACATGACCTATTCAGCAGTCTATTTTCATTCCCTGTGCACTGCCCCTCAACCAACTTGGCCCCAAAGAGTATAAAGTATTCATTTTGAAATGCAGCAACCTCTGTGATTAAATAAGACAAACACTTAATAGTGCATAGCAACACTACCCAGAAGATTTAGGGAAAAAAATAAGTTATCGTGGTAATTTTAAGTAGGCAAAAAACTTAAAGATTTCAAATCTTCAACCTGTTACATTATACTTCCAACTGAGATACGTAACTTTAGGCCCAAATTCTGCAACCCTTGCACTTACTCTTAGATTAACTATCATAAATAAGCCCATTAACTTCAATGGGATTACTCATGGTAGAAATATCTTATTGCTTAGTTTTAGTTATGCTTTAAAAATAGCTATTTTCAAAAAAGAAAAAAAACAAATTGCAAAGATTTATTTCAGGAAGCTCATTGAAGGCATGGTTATTTACACTTAGCATGTAAAACATCAGAAACTATATAACATATATATTAATCTACAGATATAATTTAGAGATTTGTGCATCTATCTGCCTGTGTGTCCATTTCTTCAAGAATTCCTCTTAACCAGCAAGAGCTAGGACTACCTAATTTGGTATCTAGCTTCTTCTTACCCTAACTTCAAGCAAGATCAGGGTTTGGTTGTGCCAGAAAAACAGGATATGCCTGGAATTAGATTGTTCTACATAACATGGAATGGGAGGGGGATGATTGGAGGGACAGCTATACTGCAGAGTAACCACAGGAGGATGGACTCAAGGAAGACAGTGGCTAGGTGGGGCCAAGGTTTGCCATCTTGCCAGCCATCAGTCCCCATTCCCCAAACTCCTCCAACTTGGTCCTCAGCCGCAGCATCGGACTGGAAAGGGGGGAAGCCATGCAGGTCCCATTGCTATGCCCTCCACCCCAGAAGCACTGCCAACGCTGGGCAGTGCAGCCCCAGTTCCCCTCCCTCCCAGTCAGGCCCAGGGAGCATCACCAGGGCCAGTCTGCATGACCCTTCCCTTCTTCCCCCAGATTGGTGTGGGGACCGCTAGCCTGTATGCCCCCCAGGTTCCTCCTGGACTGGGATCAGAGAGTGCTGGTGGGGTCAGCCTGTGTGACCTTCTCCCACCCACCATGGACCAAGACTGAGCAGCACCAGTGGGGCTGACTTGAGTAGCTCCCCCCACCCTGGGCTAGCCCCCGGGAAGAGGCCAGCAAGCAGGGCGTGCAGCCTCTCCCTCACCTTGGGGACAAGCCAGTGGGTGGAGTGCATGGCCTTCCTCCATCCCTGGCTGGCCTCCAGAAGAAGTCAGTAGGAAGGGTGAGCGATCCCCACTGGCCCAGGCTGCCCTTCCCCATCTCTGAATGCATCCATCCTTTCTCCTGAGCTCCCCCTCCTCCCAACCCCCTACTCTGACTCCTGCATCCCCCATCACCTGCCCTGAGCCTCTCCTCTCCTCTCAAACCTGATTCCAACACATACTTCCATCCTCAGCCATCTGTCCTGAACTGTGGTGGAGCAGGGGAGGAGAAGTGGGGGGGGGGGAAGGGTAGTTGCCCCCAGGCGCCATGCTAGGGGGAGGTGCCAATTTAGCTGCCAAAAGTATGTTGATAGCCGGACAGTGGCAGGGAGGAAGGGGGCCGGGCCCCCGCCCTGAGGGCACCAGCCAGACAGCAGAGGGAAGGACAGTGCTAGGACCCCACGGGTGTCAGACGCTTCTGCACTTGCAGGAAATAGAAACTGAGCGCAAAGCACCCAGTGGGGATGATGCATAGGGTGGGGGATCAGGCTGAGCATGAGCAGAATGCAGCTGGCGCACAAGCTCCCTCTGCGACTACAACCCCCACAATCCTCTTTACCGCCAGCTGGTCCAAGGCACCACCCATTGGGCCTCACCTGTAGCTCACCCGCCGAGAAACTGCAGCTACTGATTGGCCAGAGGGCACATCAGTCTGGCTGGAAGTGGAATGGCCCCATGCGCTGGAGGGAGCCCCACATGGCGGCGGGACAGGCAAGGAGGGGGTCCAGCTGAGGGTGGTTCTTTTTTTTTTTTTACTTACGTTTTTATTTTTGCTGACTTAGAAATAAATAACTTATACATCGTAACAAATGATTGGGGGGGGGGGCGCACAAATTTTGCCTTTGCCCTCAGGCGCATAATACCCTCGTTATTTCACTGTTCAGAAAGGAGATTCAAACCTGGTATTCCTACTTACCAGGTGAGTACCCTATCCACCTGATTAAAGAGGGGCACAATCAGCACAGGGATGATACTTAAAATCCCCTCATGAATCCATCCTGAAAAACACCACTTTGGTTCAAGATTTTCACTTCCCCCCACTTTTGTTTCAATCAACACAATTTGCTGTAATTTACATGAATCCATGAAATGTTATAGTTGCCCTGAATCTGCATGATTAGCTAAAAAAGGTTTAAATGATAAATTTCATTCAGGTGTTTATGGTCACATATTTTTATTAAGTTTCTCTCCAAAGAAAAAGACACCCCCTGTAGCTGAGACAAAGATGGGAAATTAAAGCCTTAATTTCAATTTCAATGAGGCTCTGTGCAAGCACCAAGGCCTGTTTCCTAACCCAAAGAGGTTTTCTGTTTTTGCTGAATTGTCAGATAAGGCCCATATCCTGCAAACACATACACATCAGGATACTAGGACTCTTTCAAGAAAATTATTACTAACATACATTTGCAGGACTGGGCTTTATCTGATAAGGTAGGGACAAAACACTGTCAAATGCCAAAAGTAAACACACTCCAACATACATATTTCTTTCTAATATCTATCTGTAATGGTAATCTTAGCAAGGTAAGAAGCAATTCAAATACAAATGTTTTGGTTTTAATTTATAGTTGACTGTCCTATTTACCATGAGGTACTCCTGCTGGCACACATTCAATCTGCCCATACTGTCAGATACAAAAGGCTGAAATCAAATGATGCCAATCATCTCATCTCTTTCATATTTAGATGTAATAATGCCACTTCAGCATTACTGTGCTATGGAGTGTAAACTGCATTTTAAAATGTGAACAAAACTTTGTAATTTTGAAGTCTGCCTTATAGACAGCAAACTCATCCAACACAGGTTTTTTCTAGGATTTGATGCTCCAAGAGGCTGAGCACCCTTACCTCTAAACTGACTTTAGAATAAGGTTGAGTGAGGGTGTTCAGCGCTTCAAAATATCAAGTCCCAACTGCATGCAAAACAGTTGCTTTTAGTGCATGCACACAATTTATTTACAGGTGAAATAAAAATGCTACATTGAAAAGGCAAGCTATCCAATCTTACAAATATTTCTGAACGTTTGTTTGGCCTGAAAGATCTCTGAAATGATAAGAGCTAGAAACATCACATTTTTCATGGATACTACTGATTTCCCAACTTAAATAACTGAATTGGTTATATCTCAAAATCGTATCCCCTGGTTGCCCCAGAGCCCCAATTGGGCCTACTGATAATTCCGAAAGATTTCCGAAAGAGTAAGAGCAAGCAACACCAAATTTTGCACGGATACTACTGATTTCCTAACTTAAATCACTGGATTGCTTATATCTCTAAATCGGTTCCCCCAGAGCCTCAATTGGGCCCACTGATAATTATCTTTTAGTAGTGCCTATCATAAGCATTTGCTGAACTCTTCTGTTAAGCATATCACAAACTGCAACTATGAAATCTTAGAGGATAAAGCATGTGAGCACCTGCAGCACCATTAAGGGAAAGCCCATGGGGGAGAGGCTGCAGTGGGAAAGCGAATCAGCAACCTCCCCTATACTAGGGCACCAGCAGGTCTCCAGGACAGACGCAAATGTGGCTGATGCTGGCTGGAGTCTAGCCTTGCTAACCGTGGCTGGGAGAAGCCTCCAACTATCACAGCCTCTCAACATCTTCACGCAGCCGGACTTCAACTGAATCCCTTCTGGAAATTAAAGTTGCTTCCCTCCCCCCACACCCAAATGAGCCATCCCACCACTTGCCCTCCTTTGAGCTGCATGTGTTCTCCTGGCAGGGCTGTGTACATTATCAGCAAGTGCCATAGGCATTATGCACTTTGCAAGATTCAGCTCACAGTACAAAGAAGAGGTGGGTAGGAGGACAAGGTTTTGAGCACCGTGGAACCTGAGGAGGACACAGTTCACTCACAACAGCCTGTTCTCATTAGAACAGGTATGTTCAGGTGGTGTGTGTTCTGATCATCTAGATATCACTCATTGCACCTGGTCTGAAGGTGTTTCACTTTGTCTGATCAATGCAACTGGTCCAGCTGCCACTAGGAAATCCATTCAGGTTGTCCCATGGAGCATGCACTGAAGGCGCTCGGAGAGTGGCTATTTGGGGAGCAGTAATTTGCTGCTGCTGTAGAGCACAGGAGACATCCCCTCCATTTCTCAGGGCTTCTGGCCAGGAAGATGAAGCATTAGTTTGCATAGAGTCTTTAAGGGAAGATGGGCCTTCCTGATTTGTGGGGATTGAGAAAAGAGACCCTATGGGATTTGTCGTTTTGTAAGCACACTAGCTATGTTA